GAGGAAGGAACTGTGTGCAGAAATCAACGAGGAGATGGAGCTCAGGGGAAGAAACAGCAGCCAAAATGCTCTCAAATCAGAGATGCTGCTGGGGTGAGAGAGACAGAAAAGAACTAGAATATTTCAGGTAATGATAAAATTGTAAATCCCTGTCCTCTGTATTTATTTGCATAGGGCAAATAAGCTCTCTGTCACCAGCTCTATCCAGACATCTGAGCACGGCCCTGCTACAGACAAAGACAGGACAAATCAGCTGTGTCAAAGCTGCTAACTGTTGGTGTGCATTAGAGAAATCAGAAGCAACACATGAAACTCATGCCTAGACAGCAAGAGGAGAAAACTATGGGTCATGCCTGAAAACCAGACAAACAGATGAAGTAGAAATAAAGTTAAATGCACATAAGGAACCACAAAATTCAGAAACTCAGAAGACAGCACCACTGAATGAGGGGGAAAGACCAGCAGTACATCAGTGACCTGTTCTCATGGAGAGAGGAGGAGATGGGCTGATGCCAGATAGACTTTAAACTAAATACTCTGCTTCCAGCACCCAGAAAAAGCTCTCTAATAAATCCAGAAAAAGCAATATTCTTTCTGCATAAATTCCACAGCCCTTACAGGAACTCATCCTCACCTCTGCATTGCTTAAGGGCTGGCAAGTCAGCAGAAGTGAGGGTGAGGTGCAGAGTCCCTAACCCAGGCACAGAAGCTTATTGCCTGGAAAAAAACATAGGGAAAGTGCATTTATTCATAGCACAGACATCCCTGTCCTTTCTACCATGGGCAACTGGGTGTTGTCTTGTATCTTCTCCCTCCACAGTTTCCCTTCTGTTAGTCCTTTAGAACAGCAACAACGGAGAAAGCTAAAAATAAAGCTATATAAGCAATGTAATAGGCATGCAATTGCATGTCTATTTTCTTTGAAAAAATGATGCTTTATTTCCTGTTCAATGGAAAATACAGTTTGATGTTACAACTATTAGGTTTTGACTGAATGCAGAAATTTGACTGAAACAATGACATTTCCCCCTGTATTTACTATTACCATATGTCAGTGATTATATATTTAAGTTGCAAAAATGAATTAAATTTCATGGCTTCCTCAAGCTAGATTCTCTTGGAATGGACTGTCTTTTGTTATTAACTGAAATGCTTGGAAAACAGTTTAAATCAAAACAGCAGACTTTTGGTATCATTTCAGGAGAAAGCTGGTTATCACAGACCAAGTGCTTAACACATCATCATCCAGAAGGCTGGGTAAAGCCTTGCAAAGCTGCAGCCATCGTGGCCAGGATAGAGAAAGAGGGTTAATTAGACACCACAGATTTAGAGATGGAAAAAAGGGAGAGAAAAAAAAGATACTGTTTGAAGCTCTCTTGCCTGGGGTCTTATTCCTTCTCCTTCTGAAGTTATCATATATCCCAGACCACAGTGCTTATTTCACTTACTTCGGGAAAGTATCTTCTCTAAGCTGGCTACAGAGCATTAGTGACAATCAGATTGCACATATGTTCCAGGAGAAGACAGCCTTGTCCTTGCTAGATTTCCTCCCACTTTCTGGGGAGGGAAAAAAAAAAAAATCTGTATTTCTTTTTACTCCTTCTGTTTCCCATCATGATTTGGATTGCTAACATTTCTATCCCCACTAGGAGTCCCTGGTGGCTCCTGGCCCTTTTCTAAAGGACCAGCGGACGGTAGAGCCCCTGGGCTCCCATCAACCAGGAAGGAAGTGAACTGCAACCCACAGCTTCAAGGACTCCGATTTCAGACCTTAAAGTCAAGGTGATGTAAAGAGAATTTAGGAAACTCCCCGTGTCTATGCTTCCCACTGCCTCCAGGTCCTGTCTGGACCCGGACAGCCAGAGCTGGAAGAGGACGGCGGTGACTAGAGAAGTCACCACTGGCATGTTTGTGGATATTGCAGCCTGTTACACAACCTGCAGAGAGATCTCCGTGGTGGCAGACATAGTGTAAAGCAGAACCTGAGCAGTGCTGGTGAGTGGGAATCAGGTTGCCATTCCTAGCTGAAGAGTTAGGGAAGAGCAGGTTAAAGAAGTGGGGTTCAGCATAAGAGAAGGATAGCTATGCTGTGCTTGCTGAAGGACTCACCAGGCAGGATACAGCCAGGACAGGCCTCAGTGAGAACATTGCAAATTTATGTCATATTTTGCCAAAGACTCAATCAATTGAGCATGTGCTAAAGCTGAGTTTGTTTTGTCTTATTTGGAGCTTTGGAAGATATTTCCTATCTTGACTCATTGAACACACTCCAACCACACACCTGCAACTTCTGGAGTGCATCCTCCCAGCAAGAGGCTGGCTCGCACGTCGTCACTTATGCAGGGCAAATCCTACTGAAAACACATCTGACCACAGCTTTCACACCAGTTTACTTTTACATGTAGCACATGTAAGCTAACATCTGGCAAGAACACAACTATGTCCTGATCGAGATGGAGCTCATAGCAACAGATGTGTTTGATAGTGCAGGACCAGAGAGGCTCTACCTTAAACTGAGCATATTTCTCTTCTGAGATTTTACACCCTCTGGCCACATCTTTTTCTGAGTGGAGCCACTGTCACTATGGCTTTGCAGTCCCCTCAATACCAAATACACTCTCAACCTGCAGGTCACTGCTTAGCCCTAACATCCAGGTGATTTTGCTCCCACTGAGGCATGTCAGCACATGAAGCAGGGTGCTGATACAACCATTATGTTGTACATCAGTGCAGCATGAGGTTAGCAATGCCCTGAAGCAGACAGTGCCTCCAGTGCAGGAGGAAACTCTCCAAGCACACAGTAGCTCTGCCTGCAGGCACGCAAGCAGCACCGGTAGTTAGCAATCTAACAAACAACATCTGCTGCCTATTTGGGGGCAAAGGATGGAAAAGCCAGCAAAGAGTAGCCCACAGTGCCAGCTCCTCAAGACTGAGATTTTCTTACTAAAGGGAAAAGTGTTAGGAAGAGAAAACCCAGCATCAAGACGAACGTTGCTGTGACTCTGGAAGATACAAGATGTGACTAATTGCCTCTGTAGCTTTACACAGTTACTGACCAAGTTTTTTTTTTTTTCTGACAGAGCTTTATTTTGCCAGAAAAAGTGCGGCGAGAGATTGCCACCTTGTGGTTCCTTCTCCTGCAGTGCCATGTTTTTTTCCCACATGCTCCAGGCTAGACTAGTGGTTTCCAATTCGCTGTCCAGGGATTTCTAGTGACAAGGATACTATGGACAAGAATACTCTCCAAATACTTAATTAACTAAAAAAAGCACGTCTGCAATTCACAGACTTCAGTTCCTATACTGAGAAACTTATCACTAGAAAACCTTTCAGGAGTCTAACTTGCAAGTTAATAAACACGAGTAACTACTGGCATGGGTACACAGCTCCCAAACAGCAACACAAAACGCTCTGGCAGTGATGCACAAAACCGGAACGTCTTTACAATATTCTCAGCACCAAGAAGTCTGCGAGAAATTCAGGGCTGATGACAGCCTGCCACGGCTAACATACGGGTTGAGCTCAGACAGTAGTTCCCACAAGGTCCTAATAAGGAAGGAGCAGCCATGAGCTCATCCCCACCACCTTGCAGGTAGGAAGGCTGTGCTGGTCCCGAGTCACTCCGGGTACTGCTTAGGGCAGCTTGTGAGATCTGTCCCTCAGGCAGCATAACCTGGGGCAAGGTCTGCACAAGCAGGTTATCAGCTGGCTCCTTCATCGACCACGCTCAGGTAGAGCACCAGGTAGTATTTCCTCAGTGGTACTAAAGGGGAGTTAGAAAGTGGAAGATCAGCAAGAGGTTATGAAGCAGCACGCAGCCCCTGTGAATACCCAGTGAATTTATTACATTTGTAAAAAAAAAAAAATTAAAAAATTAGCTGCCTCTCCCAGAGGGAGGGAGAGAGAGAGGGAGAGAGAGGGAGAGAGAAGAGTCTCTCATAACACAGAAAGGAGCACAGATCCCCCGGTAGCTTTTCATGCCTGTCTGCCTGCTGACATACTGACACAGAAAGTGACCTATTTTCATGCGAGCAATAATGAGTGAATAATCAGAATTTTTCGGGCACTTCCTTTGCCTCCGTGATATTTTCTAGCTTCCTGCTTTGCCACTACTGAGCCTGTTGCTCAGTCAACTGCTTTCCAGTTCCCCAGCCTCGTTTCAAGTCTGTCGTGAATGTTGGTCCAGGGAAGACACAAAAGTTCAAAGAGTCCCTAAGTGCATTCTTGAGCACATACTTCTGAAGCTGATAAACCCTAGCAACATTCCCCATCAGGTCTAGACATGAGAATAAATGTAGTTACAGTGTAGCACATTTGTTTCCTAGAAAGACTGCAAATTTAACTACTACCCACCCCCCCCTTAAAAAAAGCCCAAACAAACAAAAAAAATCACACCACTCCCAAGGGAAGAAGGGAAATTAATTTGAACTGAAAAGCTGAAGAGTAGGGCCTCGACAAATAACAGAGGGAGGCTGAATGCAGATCCTAGCTCCAGAAACTGCTGGCAGCAGCCCCTCAGCAAACCCTGACCGCACCGCAGCCCACAGGCAGAGTACGTGGGATGACAGCGGGAGCCAGCGCGGCCCGGGTGGCTGGGGCAGAGCTCGCTGTTGGGGCCCGCAGCCCCCTCTGGCTGCCAGAGCTGGGGGCCGCCCCGCATCGCCCCAGTTCGCTCCGGGGTACATCCGCCAGCATCTCACCGGCTGCGGAGAGAGCGCGCGGTGCCGCCGGCCGCGGGGATGCTCCGGCACGGGCCGTGCGGGCCAGGCGGGCCAACTCCTCGGTCCCCCGCGTAGCGTCCCGGTCGGCGGCCCCGCTCCGCCGGCCCCTCCCGCCGGGGCGCCGCAGGCCGGCTCCCGGTCGCACGTGGCGCGGCGGCCGCCCGCCCCCCGGCCCACGTGTGCCGCCGCGCCGTGCAGTGCCGTGCCGTGCCGTGCCGTGCCGGCTCCCCGCTGCAGTCCCGGGGCGGCGGGCGGGCGCTGCGGTGCCGGCACAGCGGCATGGCGGCGGGCCCGGGGCGCGGCTGCAGCGGCGGCGGCTGGGGCGGGAGCCGGGGCGCCGTGCTGCTGCTCTTCTTCTCGCTGTCGCCGCGGCCGCCGGCCGGGGCCGCCTGGCTGCTGGGGCTGCGGCCCGAGGACACGACGCCGGGCCGGGTGTCGCTGGAGGGCGGCGCGGTGCAGGCGGCGGAGGGCAGCCGCTTCCTCCTGCGCCTCTACTTCCAGCCGCCGCCCGAGGGCAACGGCAGCCGCGGGCCGGCGGGGGAGCGGGAGCCGCGGCTGGTCTTCATCGAAGAGGCGGCGGCGGGGAGCACGGCGACGCGGGGCCCGGCGGAGCGGTGCCGGGAGCGCAGCGCCTGGGCCTCGGACGTGGAGGTGGTGGGGCCGCTGCGCTCGGGCGGCGCGGCGGGCTCGGCGCTGGCCGAGGTGCGGGTGCGGGAGCCGCGCAAGGGCGAGGCGGCGGCGGCGCCGGGAGGGCGGCTCTTCTCGCTGTGCGCCTGGGACGGGCGGGCCTGGGCGCACCACGGCGCGGCGGGCGGCTTCTTGCTGCGGGTGCGGCCGGCGGCCCCGCCGCTGGGCACTTGGCTGCTGCCGCTGCCCGAGGCGGGCTGGCTGCGGGCGCTGGGCGCCCTGCTGCTGCTGGGGCTCTCGGCGCTGTTCAGCGGGCTGCGCCTCTCGCTGCTCTCGCTGGACCCGTTGGAGCTCCGCGTCCTGCGCAACAGCGGCTCGGCCGCCGAGCGGGAGCAGGCGCGGCGGGTGCAGGCGGTGCGCGGCGGCGGCGGCACCTACCTGCTGTGCACGCTTCTGCTGGGGCAGGCGGGGGCCAACGCGGCGCTGGCCGGCTGGCTCTGCGCCTCGCTGCCCGGCGGCGGACCGGCGGCGGCGGCCGGCGGGCCACGGGGAGCGCCCTGGCTGCCGGTGCTGCTGTGCACCGCCGCCGTCTTCCTGGGCGGTGAGGTGCTGCCCTACTCGGTGTGCTCGCGGCACGGGCTGGCCATCGCCTCCCGCACGCTCTGCCTCACCCGGCTGCTGATGCTGGCCGCCTTCCCCCTCTGCTATCCGCTCAGCCGGTTGCTGGACTGGGCGCTGCGGCAGGAGCTCAGCGTCTTCTCTACGAGGGAGCGGCTGCTGGAGACCCTGCGCGCCGCTGGCCCCCACGGCGACCTGGTGCGGGAGGAGCTGGCCATGGTGCAGGGCGCGCTGGAGCTACGCACCAAGGTGGTGGAGGATGTGCTGACACCGCTGGCCGACTGCTTCATGCTCCGGGCCGATGCTGTGCTGGACTTCGCCACCGTCTCTGAGATCCTCCGATCTGGTTACACCCGCATCCCCGTCTATGAGGGTGACCGGCGCGACAACATTGTCGACCTGCTCTTTGTCAAAGACCTGGCCTTTGTCGACCCCGATGACTGCACTCCCCTGCAGACTGTCACCCGCTTCTACCGCCGCCCGCTCCATTGCGTCTTTAATGACACGCGCCTCGACACGCTGCTTGAGGAGTTCAAGAAGGGTGAGGTCGCCGGGCAGCCCTTCCCATGCCCCCCGGGCTTCCCCTGCACCCCTTTGTACCCCCAATGATTTCCAGGTCAGCAGCCTCTGCGGGCAGCCCTGCATGGCCTCCTGGCAGGATGTGGCAGGTACCAGGGATGCTGGGGGGAATTGGTCCCTGCATGTGCTGGTGTGTCGATGACCCTGGTGTCACCTGGTGGAACATTCCCGGGTGGATTGAGGGCCAGCAGTCCTTGATGTACCCGTGATGTTATGAAGGCTGTAAGAGCCTTTGGCCTCACAGGTTGCTGGCTTGGCAGGTGAGCCTGTCCCGCAGGGGCTGATGTGTTTGCAGTGGCCTGGCAGCATGGGCACGGTACCTGCCTTGCACCATTGCCCAGACAGCGTTCGCTGCTCTGTTCTGTGCAAAGCAGCTTATGACAGGAAATCGCTTCTCATTACTCAGCTTTCACATTTTCAGCTTAGCAGTGAGAAGGAGGTCTATAAAGTGTTTCTATGCAAGTGGTTTAAAGGAAGAAGAAAAGATTAAACCCCTTAGAAAGCGCTGTACTTCTTTTGCATCTGTGACAGCATTCATAATGCAGCAGCTGCCAGCAGCCTGAGAGATGCTGAGAGCTGTATTTCATTAACCATACCTTGAGAATACGCACAGCATGTGTTTTTCCCTCCCACTGGGAATTGTGTTTTGCCGCGTGTTACTCACTACGTCATACTGTGGTGAGTCTAAGAAATGGCTGCAGCAGTGACATGCTGCATTATGTAACGTGCGAGGGCAGCGCTTGGCTCCTGGGCTGCCTGGCGCCGCTGTGCCGCAGGCAGAGCTGGTCATGTGAGAAAGACCAACCTGGTCCACTCCAGATACAGAGAAAGCCTCTCTGTGAGTCATCTCCTGCTCGTTTTTAGAGGTGGGAGGAGGAGAGGACAGGACATTTCTCAGTGTGCCAGCAATGTGCTCATCAGATCCGTGCAGGTCAGCATCTTCTCCAGAGATGTTCGGCTGTGCTCCCACTGCCGCTCAGGATCGCAGGCAGAGGAGTTCTGTGTGCCACCACCTGCCCTCTCTGCCTCTCAGCAGAACTGGAGACTTCCAATGGAAAAAATCAGAAAATTCCTGGGTTTTATACAAGACTGTTAGCAAAAGCATTGAGATTGTTCTCTGGGCTCAGCCTTGGTGAGCTGCAGTAGTTCATGCCCACCTCTTTCCCCCCCATGCCAGTTGTCTCTTGTCATCCCAGTTCCTTACGTGCTTCACAGTTCCATCCTGTGTTTTCCTGCAATAGCACTGAAGTTCACCTGAGGTCTCTTCTACCCCTCTCTTGCCTAGAGATATCAGATGATTTTGGCACCCTCTCCCTTGGTCAGGATCCCCTACAATTTATCTGATTTCCTTTGATATACTTTCCCTTCCAAATTCCTTCTAGAGCCTGGAACCCTATGGATCAATAGAGCTAAAAAAATGGGCTTGTGGTTGCTTCGTTCTGTGCCCTTTGCTTGCTGTCCTCTCTGCCCTCCTTAAACAGAGCTGTTTGGTGTGTGCTGCTCCCTGGGCTCACAGGTATGCTAGCAAACCTTGCTACCTGCCCTGCCCTTTCATATGCTGCTCTTCATCTCAGATGAAGATTATCCATCCTTCTTTAACTTTGCTCCGTTAAACTCTTGGCATAACACTTCAGGTTCTTTCTTCTTTATATCTGTCTGCCATTGTGGCCTTCTGGAGTGTTTTGCTACAGTCCCTATTTAGAGCTCTCAACCCTTTTTCTGTTCCCACCTCACTTCTCCTTGTCTTTTCTGACCTACATGGATGAAAAGCCTTGCTTTTGGTGTTTGTATCTAACTCGCACGGTGTTTAACAATTCCATTTCTTCCCCCAAATGTTCTTCTTCCCAAGAATTGATGCTTTCTTCTGATTCATCTTTCCCCTATTTGATCACCCCCAGCACCCTGAATTTGTAAAGAATTACCCCCCAGCCCAGCCCTGAACCTTCCTAAACTCTATTTTTCCAGTTCCTAGTACAGGTTCTTGTGCTGGCTCCCATAATGTGACAGATGTTAGCTCCCTGCTGCCTCCAGCCCCATCCACTGCTGCATCAGCCCTGTTCACTTGACTGTTTAATTTCTAAAATAAAGATTCCCTGTTTGTAATGAAGAGTCTTTATCACTGTCTCCTTTTCTGTGTCCGTTTGAATTATGGTGAAGTATCTTGTTTGATCCAATCAAGGTTGCTTTCCATGGCCAGGTCTTCTGAGACACCTTCACTAATTAGAAAGTAGGCTGATCACTTTTTGGCTCAGCGAGTGTTTAATGAAGGCATTCATCACTTCACACATCCAAGGTGCCTGCAGGACAGCAAATGCTCCCACTGATTAAGCCCAGCCTCTTTCTAGGAAATTAAAGTCTCTGGTAAGGATGGGCATTAATAACTACCTCCAGGTCCTTATGTCCCTCACAAGCTGTTAGAAAAGCCAGCTTTTCTTTCCTTTTCTCATGATTAACTCAAACAATTTTTGTGTCTTTAATTTATTTTTGTTATTATAATGTTTACACAAAATACCTATAACATTTTATATCCTTCTTTCCTGGATAGCAATGTGTACTTCAGATCTGTTTCACTAATGATTAATGTTCTGCCACATTCACTATACCCATAACGTAATTTTTTTGCATAATGTATAAGTAACACAATTTCACTGCCAGAGCTCCTTGCCACAGTACACAAACATTTGTTCTTTCTTACTGAAAATGTCAAGGGATTATTAAATACAGCACATTGAGACTTGCTCACACCTCCAACAACGCTTTCATTCTGTCTCCTACTCACGATATCTCACTGTTCTCCTTGTTTACCTGAGGCATTTATTTTCTCTTGCTGTTCTGTCCCAGCTATGAAGATAATCAGCCTTTTCTCCTCTTCGGTCTTCTATAGCAGGGTTTGAGGAGAAGCTTTCCTTCGTTTGTTTCTAGGTGTGCTCACACTAACCTCGTCTGAGTGCAGTTCCATTAAGATGCATTGATGTTTGCCTCGATTTTAATCCACAGATGTGTCAGAAACTGCCTCTCCCGCAGCAGGACCGTGTGTAGAAGGGATTACCTTCCACAGAGCTGTAGCATCAGCTTTCCATTTAATTTAATATTTAAACTGTATCAAATAGTAGCATACACACCAAGGGAGCCACTGGCCCAGCGTTGGGTTATGGTGCCCAAGAGCAGGTGTGAGCTCCTTGTTAACAAAAGCTGGCCCCTGCTCCATCACAGCAGAACTGGGCAAACTCTTCAGCTCTGCCTTTTCACAGCCCTGCTGATGTGGCCATTGTTTGATTTCTCTTTCAGTACTGATTCCTGCAGAGGGGTGGTTAAATTGGGCGTCCCAATGGGAACAGGGAAAAGCCCAGAGAAGACCAGAGAGGCCATCTGGCCTGCAAGGGAATAGTGTAGAGTCCAACCCACAGCCCAAATGAGGAGGGCAGCTCCAAGAACCACATAGAAAAACAACATTACAGCAGCATGAGACAGGTTCAGCTGAGGAAAGGAAATACTTGTGCTGCAATATGGTTTTGACTTCATCTTCTCAGCAAAATTTAGCAAAAAGAAATAATGAGGGCTAGTCACCCAATTTGCCATCTTTTCAGGGAAACTAGACACAGTCTTTTATAGAAGGCACACACAGTTGTGCAGCATTAACTGAGAAGTGCTAAGTGAAAGACCCTACAAAAAAATGTGTCCCCTCTTCACTAGAAATAAAAAAATACATACCAGTACAGTAATTTTGCCACCTGAAGCCTGGTGAAAGAAGATGAAAATACCAAAGGAGTGAAAAAATTGGGAAATAATCTCTTGGCAATTGATATTGGTACACCTTGGAGTACCTGGCTTTATTCTGGGCCCCCAGGAGAAAATACCTAATACACCAAAAAAATTATTGCACCATATTTAGCAAGCTAAAGCTATGTTGGGAGGCAGATGAGCTTTCTGTAGGATAAACTTTACCTAGGGAATGTGGAACTATGAGGAATGGTTTATGCATTTATTCAGTGTGAAATGTTGTGGGTGAGACAATCTGTTTTTCCTCCTTTCTTGAAGATAACCAAGCAATGCATATTGCAGCTCTCCAAGTCCAGTGATATAACTCCTCACAGAAGAGCACCTCCTTGCTTTGTAGTGCCTCTGGGAAGTCATAGTCTCATCCCTTCCTCAAGTTGTTTATGGGTTTTGTTGACTGACTTCCTGGAGGGATCTATATACAGCACTGGCACCTTTCAGCAAGTAACTTTCCTCTGTCAGAGGAGCAGTAGAAATTTTCTCTTAATGTTCATTTTCCTACAGCAGGGCAGAGGCTGAGCTGCAACTCAAATTAGCCTTCTGTGGCTTGGCATCTTTTAAGAGTTACTAAAAATAAATTCTCCAAACCCTGAACTTTCAGGCTTAGCAGGGAAAACAGCCTGTGGAGGATAACTCTGCCCTAGGGTCTGTCTTTACATTTCAAAGTGTTCCACAGCCTGTATTAGACTTCTGCAAATTGAATGTAGCTGGAGAAGGTGCTTACATTTGCCAGAAATTGGGGTCAATACCATTTCAGATGCTTTTTGTACCATCTTTCTGATCCTGCAGGCATTGTAAGCACACAGTATTGCTTCAAATTTAACTCAACCTTCAAGAGATTTCTGCAAGTGCAATAGTCACTCTGCTGGGCACCTTGATGAGCTGAAGCAATGACCTTCCAAGGCAGTTATATTGGGTTAAGGAGCCAGTTTTACCCAGGAACTATCACCTGTCCCCTGGAATAAGAGCAAGTGAGCTACTGACAGACAAAAAATGGTCTCAGTGTCTCATGCTGCAATTCTGCCTGAAGCATTTTTGTGCTTTTCCTGCTTAAACTTTGCTATATCTTACTGTGTAAACCCAGGACTGCTCTACCCCACCCCAATAATCCCAGGACCAGGCCTGCTCTGGGAAGGCATTCAGCAGAGCAAGAAGGGAGCCAAGTCCTTGGGCGCAGGGCACCCTGGCACCCACTTCCCTCTTCATAGCTGTCAAAGGCACCATCACACTGAGCTGCTGGGTACCCAGGAGGTCAGGATCCTGTTGCACAACAGATGGAAGATGAGGTTCCGTGTCCCCTCTAATCTTCCTGCCCTCCTGATCTGCAGTGGTGGTAGATCAGCTATTCCAAATATCCCTTATTTTTTCAGTTTTGCTTAGGATTAGGAAAAGCATTAAAAGATAATATGAGAAAGGCTACAGACAGATATAAGCAGGTGAAGTTTTTGTCTCCAAGAAAGGTCTGGGTTAGGTTAGGATTTACAGTTTTTCCTTTAAATGGCTCTTATTCCTGACCTGGAGCTGGGTGACCCTGCAGCCCTCTTGGTTATTTCCCCCCTGCTTAGATGTGCATTTCCTCTAAACACAATGTGTGCTTTCACCCATGGTGCAGAGTTGTGGTAACACAGGATCACTCTCACATTTCCAGTTCAAAGTGTTCCCCACTTTCTTCAGATGCAGGTCAGCAAGAGGACACAGAGATGCTGGCAGGCCCCGAGAAGAGCTCTGAAGAAAAGCACACAGAAAATAGATTTCAGTTACATCATGGTTGTTTCACAAATCAACCTTATTTAAAAATTCTTCTTTCTTCTTCTTATTATTATTTGCCTTCCATTTTGTAGCTGTGAATGGTTCAGGCACAGATTTATGCCTGTACCTTTGATCTCTTAATAACTGCTTCAGATCTTACCATAAAATTTATGAAAACTAATTTCATGCTCAGGATGTTCATCCTGTGGAACAAGAGACAAGGCTAAAGCACCTTAACATTCCTCTGTCAGGGTACCTGTATAAAAAAATGCTAAAGAAGTAGTCTGGGCTATATTTGAACCCAACAGTACTTTCTTTCCCAGAAGTCAAGGTCTTTCCATGTGTTCAGACCCCATTCCCTCATTGGGAAAGATGCTTTGAGGTGGATCTATGAGCCCAAGGTCATTTAGGTGTCTATGAAAAACAAGGCTTTTAAAAATGGGCATAAAAGCTTTGGATATCTGTTCAGATGCTTGCTCCATCTGGAAGCTCTCAGCTGTTTATATTAGCTCTGTAATTTAGCATTTTGAGGCATTAACTTTCCACTGAAGCTGTTGTTTGAAAAGAGCAGATTTCATGTAGCTCATAAAGAATTTAGTGCAGTTGTATCCCATGCTGAGCAGACACTTAATCACCTATAGACTTCCTGTGCGAGAGCAGTCCTGCGGAGGCCGGCAGGGCTGCTCGAACAAGAAAAGTTAATTGCCCATTTGTTCTAGCCTTTGCCAAACCAAGGCTTTGATTCTCAAGTGTTTCACTGTGCTTTCCTGCATCAGCAATAGCCCTGTAAAGTTCACATGTGACAGCTTGCTAGTGGGGAAGCAGCTCACCCTTATAATTCATCTCATTTGAGCTATCAAGCAGTGGTTACAATAGCATGGTTTTTGGAATCAGTTTTACAGATCTTAAAACTGTTTTAGATCATGTTTTGGGGGTTGTTTAAATGATTTACCTCCCTGTTATGTTCCCACTGAGGGTAACCTGCTGGATAATGGCTGCAGAGGCAAATGTGACCCCTCTGGCATCCCCAGGTCTGTCCCTATGCCACCTTCCCTTAGACATTCTTTCCACCTCATTGCCCAGATTCTGCCCTTGTGCATGCCCAAAAGGCTGCTTCTTTTCCTCCTGTGCAAGTGTAGCAGCTCCCAGGGCTGGGCAGAGGGATAGAGCTGCCCAGGAGGAAATTGCCCATGACCATGCAGCCAAGGCACCTGCAAACCCTCCACCAAACTTTATGGGGCCTGTTAAAGAGCTGATGGGAGGAGATACAGGACCCGGTCAGGTCAGGGGGTGGGGCACAACTTTGCAAATGACCTCATGTCCCTCAGGTGGGAAATCGGAGCATGTCAGCCCTCTCCCAGGGGGGAGCAGCTGCGAGCAGCACGCACAGGTTGCACACTTAAAGCACCGGGACTGGCTGGCATTCAGGGCTTTTTGTGCCATGGCAGACATGGGCTGGGATCAGCTCTCTCGGTACGGGCAGCAGCAGCCACACTGAACTGCAACAATTTTCCATTGTTGGGTACCTGCTCCATTCCTAACCTGGGTATTAGCCTGGAAACGTGAACCTGAGGGTTTGGAGTGTGAATACAAGTGTTTATTTTCTGTGAAAATAAAGGACTCTGGAATTCTCTAACAGCCCTACTGGCTCTGCCCCCAGTGCAGTGAAACCATGGGTCTCCTCCCAGGCTAATGGTGCTGGGTTATTTCTAAATAATCTCATTTGCAGCTATGTGAACATGGAGCTTGAATCACATTCCTAGTGTAAATTGCAGTGTCGATGTAGGTGTTTGGCCAAAAAAAGAATTGCCTCCGTCACTCTCTGACTGCCTTTAAGTAGCACCTAAGCTTTTTGTAAGGGGTTGGTGGTTTTGGGTTGCATGTAAATGTCATTAACAACAATCTCTCAGCCAAAAGAAATAACTTTTTCCCTCTCCTCGCTCACCCGAGGACTTGTAGGAGACCAGATGGCCCCAGTGTTTGGGAGCAAAGTTTGGCAAAGGAGACATTTTCAAAAGCTGGACTTTGCTAAGATGAAACGTAGCTGTTGCTGCTGTCCTGCAGCCAACTCCTCTGCTTTTTCTTTTTAAGTTCCATGTTCCTTTATTACCCACTGAACAGAAAATATGTACAAACCTACGTATGAAAGGAGTGAAATAGTCCAGTCCAAAAAACATGCTGAATTTTCAGTGCCCCAGGGCTATTGATTTGGTTTTTTAAAGTGCATCTCGGTGCTACTTGCTGCAATGTTATGTTCTCATTTCTAAATCCGTAGGCGTGGGAGGCAGCGAGCTGCTCTCTGAAATCTTGCAATAAAAGCTTGGTATGAGGAGAAGGGAATTTATACTGTGGAAAATGCCCAAGATTTGCTGTGAGAAATGTATAGTGCTGATCTTCAGCTGAGAAATGTCATCTGCTCATCTCAGATCCAGGGCAGGGTTATTTGAAGGTCACATGATCCCCAGCAAGATGTGTTTGTGGGACTGCCAGGCTCTGGGTGTGCTTGTCCCTGCACCTCTGCAGGGACAAACCAGGAGGGACTGTGGGTAAGGAAGGAGCTGAGCACCAGGCAGGAGCCCACCCTGTCACATCTTGTTCACATCCCTCGTCGGGAGCAGCAGGAGAGCTCGTTGGGATGGGTTTATGGGAGAAGAGAATGCAGAGGCAGCTGCATAGCAGAGGGGACCCGCCTGTTTTGGGTGACCACTGCTGCTCAAGGAGCTCAGCTCCGAGCCCATGGGGAAAATAAGGTGTTAGCAGCTTCCCAGAGGTCACCACAGGACTTTTGAGTTTGTGCAGGAATTGCAACAGGAGACCTCAGGGATGCAGAGCAAACAGAGGGAGCAGAAGTTTCTGGCTGTTGTGCCAATGAGGGTGCTTTTTCAGTAAAAAAAAAAGGTCCAGAATCTGTGTGCACAGAACCACAAGAAACCCAGTGCTGTTCATTGGCAGGTCCAAGAATACACTGGAGCTAGAAACCCAGAAGTTGTTTGTGGCTTGGAAGTTGGGTTCTGGTCAAGATGCTGAGCAGGACCATAAATCAGAGCAGCCAGTAAAGGAAGGGAGACATTGAAAAAGTCAAAACATCTGACAGAGAGCTGGACATGCAAAAACAAATAGAAATGTTTCAAGTATGCCAAAACCAAGAAACTTGAGGATGTGTCAGCAGAGCTGCCAGCTTACAAGGGACAAGTGAGGAAGCTGAAGCTGTGATCCAGAACACTGGAACTTCCAAGCAGGAGTCAACATCATTGCAGCTGAAGGTCCTGGTCTCACTCTGCTTGTTTAAGGTAACAGAGAAGATGCTGTCAAGGGCAGGGCTTGGAGAAGAATTTCAGGTGAAACCTTATGGGTTGAAAAGTGTTCAGTGTCTGTATCCAGATGGTTCACCCAAGAGTTCTGCAGGAGCTGGGCTGAAAGCTGCAAATAAACATATGTGTTTCTGCATAAAAACCAGCTGCTGTTTCAAGGAGATGGAGGCTTGGCCCGTATTTTAAGAAAAGCCTTAGGATTGGTCTAGACAATGATGGATAGAAAGCTGAGGGGGAGCTGTTCCTGGCAATTTAATAGGAAAGATAATTAGCAACAGAATAAGAAAGCACCAGGAGGATATGGGAAATCAGTAGAGCTAAGGACACATTCACATTTCTGTGTTGGAGAACATTGTCTCATTGCTCTGTTAAGAGCTGCTTCATGCCCATGAAGCTGAGGGTAAGGAAGAGCTAGTATGATGTACACTTCATTCCTGCACAGGAGGCTTTCAAAGAGCTGAACAGATTGACTCAAGGCTTGGGTAAAGAGAGGAGGTGGCCCCAAAAAAGGGCTTACATCTACAAATCAGTCTGGACAGCAGCTGCCCTGTTAGGCTGGGCTGCGTGTCCAGCCCTTCTTAGGCTAGCACAGGTAGGATGGGTTTGAGTGACAGTGTCTGCTGTGATCTGTGCCTCCCACCAAACCCTGCCCACCTGCCTGCTCATCACACTGGGGACTCCTCTCAGGATCACTGGGGCAGGTGTCTCACTGCCACTCTGCTTTTCCCCTGCAGGAAAGTCCCACCTGGCCATCGTGCAGCGGGTGAACAATGAAGGGGAAGGAGACCCGTTCTACGAGGTGATGGGCATTGTCACCCTGGAAGATGTCATTGAGGAGATCATCAAGTCCGAGATCCTGGATGAGACAGATCTGTACAGTTAGTGTCCCAGAGCAGCTACTGTGATTGCAGGAGCCAGGGTGGGAGCCTGCACAGACAGACAGACAGACAGACATGTGGGTAGGAAACAGGCCAGAGCAAATTGTGTCTCCCCAGACTAATTTGCTGTCATGATGGGAAATTCAAGAATGATGGAGAAGTGCTGGTCAGGAAGTTCTGAATGCTCAAGACAGAGAAGTACCAGCATCAGCATTGGGTGGCTGGGCAGGCTCTGATCTAAGAGCATCTATGCTGGGCATGAAATGGGTGGTTCCTAAGCTCATTTGCAACTCTGGGTGATGCATCCAGCCTGGACAACCCAGGGCTTGCTCCTGAGGAATAAGTGTGCGTTTCACCATCATGCTCCCTGTCCCAGGAGCTGCTCCCAAGGCTGGATGCACAGCAGGTTTTATGCACGCCACTGCTCCATCTGCTGCTCCACAGCAGCCCTGCCATAGGGTGCAGCAAGACATGCCTGTCCATACGTGTGCATGGGACATGGGGCCCTGCAGCTGCAGCGGCTCTGTGGCTCCTGCAGGCGAGTGACTGCTGTGCTCTGACTGCAGCTGACAATCGGAAGAAGGAGCGGGTTCCTCACCGGGGACGCAAGCCCCAGGATTTCTCCATCTTCAGGCTCTCAGAGAGTGAGATGAAGGTGAAGATCTCCCCTCAGCTCCTCCTGGCTACCCATCGGTTCATGGCAACAGGTACACTTGCCCTTGTGCAAGCTCTGCAGCACCAGCCCCACAGGGCATCCCTAAGCCATTCCTGGGTTGGGCTCCCCCGCACTGAGCAATTTCCACCTGCCTGGACCTACAACCTGGGCATTCCACTGCCCTACCAGTGCAGGTCTGCATGTGGCTCCCCTCTTGGCACTGGGTGCTTAGGCTGCAGCAGCAGGGCTGTGCAGCTCAGGGGACGAGGGGTTCCCAGCAGTCCCAGACCTGCTGAGCACAGCACCTGTGTGTTGCCTCTCCTGTAGAAGTGGAGCCTTTCAAGTCTCCCTACCTCTCCGAGAAGATCCTGCTGCGGCTCTTGAAACACCCCAATGTCATCCAGGAGCTCAAGTATGACCGAAAGAACAAGAAGGCAGCAGAGCATTACCTCTACCAGCGCAACCGCCCTGTTGACTACTTTGTCCTCATCCTGCAGGTGCCTGGGGCAGCAGCAAGCAGAGGGTGGAAGGGCATGGCCCTGTTTGCTCCCTGCCACCTCGTTCTAGGTGGCTTCTGTCAGCAAAGATGCCCATCCTTTTGCATGGGATGGGAGGGGTTCCTGCAGCCCTGGGTGGGTCAGGAGCATGAGATGACTGCCTGAGAGGGTTTTCCTCCTCCTTCCAGGGGAAAGTGCAGGTGGAGGTCGGCAAGGAAGGACTGCGGTTTGAGAATGGGGCGTTCACCTACTATGGTGTCCCTGCCATCATGGCTGTCGTCTCCTCAGGTGAGGCCTCCGTGGGCTCCCTCTGGCACTGCCTTTGCTTCAGCAGCATCCATGGAGGCTAAATCAGCTGGTGCCAGGAGAAGGGGCTGGCCATGGGGTGGGGTAGCTCTGCTTTGGGGCATGGGGCCTTTGGGGCATGGGGCAAGCAGGAGCCCTTCCTCTGCTATTCCCACACCTCCAACTGTTGTTTCAGAAAACGATGTGCGAAAAATGGGAAGCCTGGCAGGATCCTCCTTCCTACGTAAGTATTTTGGGACAGGCTGAGGCCCTAAAACCCTTCTGCAGCACTGGCTGGCTGGAGGAGAGATGGCTTTTCTCCCCATGCAAAACAGCTCAGACTCCGTGCTGAGGTAGACAGAGAAACAGCTTGCTGAGGGCTGGATGCAGAAAAGTCCCCACAGAGTGACTTGGAGGTCCCTTTGATGTCCCTTTGATGTCCTTTTGAAGTTTCTGCCATGTGCTGGGTCTCTACTGGTGGGTCCCTGCATGGCTGGTGCTGCAAGGGGCATTGCCCACACGTGAGTGTTATGCTCATTCTAGGTCTCAGGATAACACCTTTAGAACCATTTGCCTTCCTGAGGCTCAGGGCACAACCTGAACATGAGCCCTAACATTGGGCTGCTTGAGAATTGTAGAGATGGGTTGATTTACCTGTGAGTTATTTGCACATGATGCTGGGAAATTAGCTAAGTAGATACCCAAAATAATTCCTTGGCAAATAATTCCTTGCCAGCAGAGTGCAGGGAATAAATATTTTTTATTTATTCCATTTAACATAGAAATAAATTCTCTTCCTGCAGAGCTGATGGGTTAAGAAGCAGATCCCCTGCTTGCGGGAGTTAAGCGAGGGTTCTGATTAAGGGAGACTGAGAGGTATCCCCTTCTTTGCTATAACCCCTGCAAATGTTTAGTCCCTGGTGGCTCAGGACCAGGTCAAGGTGCTGCCCAATCCCAGTCTGTCACATCCCTCATCCAAACCCCAGATATTGCAGTCACATCTGAAATCCTGATGGTAAGCTGAGATGCTCTACCTGCCTAATCAAAACAGGGACCTACTAAATTCAGTCTTAGGGAGACGTAAGGAGGAATGTCATCAAGAGAACAGGGGGAGTCTCTTGGGGCAGGTGGCTCATTCTGGTGGGTCCCAGTCTTTCTGCAGCTCTAGGGTTCACCTATTTCCTGCTGCTTGCTCTGCCTCTGTGCAAAAGGCTGGCTTGTGGCCTGATGGATGAACCCTCAGTGTGCAGTCCTGCCTTGCTGTGTGCCCACAGTGCAGTCGGCTTAGCCAGACGAAATCAGTGAAGTGGCCAGTTTCTGTCAGGGTGCTGCTGGATGGCCCAGTGTCCTGTATCCTAGGTGTATCCTCACGGGCCCACTGGGGCTCAGGCAGGGCAGAAGGGAGCTGTGTCAGAGCAGGCATGCATGTCTGCAGTGCCGCCTGCTGGGACACTGCTGCTCAGGGCTCCCTTGCTCCCAGTGCTCACGCATGGCACTGTCCCGAGGCGTTTCCTGCCATGCAGCCATTCCTGCCTGCAGTGGGACAGACCTGTGTCACAGCCCTGGCCAGCAGGCTAGGAGGCAGAGGTGACAGGTCATCTCCTTCGTGGTGGAGGCTGGCATCCCCTTTCCTCCTTGAATGAAAGCCCAGAAGAAATGAGTGTGAGTAGAGTATCACAGCTGAGAATTCAGACATCAACCTAGAACATCTAACAATTTGTTATTAATTAACTGTTGTTATGCAACTGCTTTATCGTCAGCTGATCTTCGGCATTGGTGCTGTGTGGTGACAAACGCTGTGGGAGGGTCAAGCAGTGGGAGCACGGGGTCAGTACTAGTGGTTATCAACTCATCCTTTGCTCCCATCAGGACAAGGTCATTCCGGGCAGTGCTTTGTGCTGGTGTCTTTTTTATTTGCAGAAGGTTTTGATTCAGGAGAGAACACAGAACATTAATTCCTGGGGGAGCAGCAGGGAGATAAGAAAAGGGGACTGCAGGGCAAATTTCCTGGGGGTTTTACATTTGAAGCAATTTTAAAACATTAATCACATAGGCAGCAGATAGTTCCTAGAGTGTTGCAGTTGTGCTGCGGGCACAGTGGCTGGATGTAGGGCAGGGCACCTCAGGCAGGAGGGCTGGCAGCTGGAGGAATCATGGCAATGGCTAGAGGAAGGGGCTGGCAGCCAGCAGGCTCACATTTCCCACTGCTCCCAAGGTGGGCAATGGCAGTGGTGAAAGCAGAGACTGGCAAGTGTTAAGGAGTGCATCACTCACCCTGTGTGTTGGTCTCTCTGTGCTACCCCAACCCCTGTGGCATGGCCCAGGAGCGCTGTGGAGGGCAGCAATCACCAGGAGGGGAATGGCCTGCCCTAGAAATTGTCACTGCTGCTGTAACCCATGGCAATAAAACATGGAAAGTGAGTGTCTATGATTTACCTTCTCTGTGGCAATGGGTCAGGTAGCCCCAGATGCAGAGTCCTGGTTCTTGCAGTTCCTGCAAGGATCAGCCCCCAGTGGGTAGCTCTTCTTGGCATCACCTGAAGGCTATTGAGACCCAGGACCATGCAAGGAGCTGCAGGCAGCCTGATATGAATCCCTTTGCTTTGCATCACCCTGAAGAGCTTCTGTCAGCCCCTGCCTACAGCTGTGGGGCTGGGCAGCGACTTTTGCAGAGCATATTCTTTCTCTGCCATGTGCCTACACACACAGAAGCCTCCCTGATGCCAAGTGCAGGGATTTAGCTTTCATCCATTTCCCAGGTGGTGTAAGCTGACCACAATGTCCACTATTCTGGCCATGGCTGATAAAGGGCTAGAGCCAAGTGCCAGCACTTAACCCACAGGGGAAAGATGCTTTCTACCCATGCCAGGGCTCTAGGAAGCTGTGTGGCTCTGCAGACAGGTCTGGCAGGAGCAAATCCCCCTGCCAGCCTCACCTCCCTGTACCTCATCACAGAGCAACCTGCTGATTTACAGCTTTCGAGTCTGTGTTCCTGCTGGTGGCCCTGTCCCCAGGACTGACAAGCACCTCTCTCACCAGAACAGAAGCAGGAGGGTGTAAAAGGGGTGGGAAGGGATGCTGCAGACAGCAATGGGAGCTCAGCCCAGGACTGCTGGCACTTGATTCTTTTTCTTACTCTTCCTCTTGGTCTGTATCCCACCCTCACCTTCATCCCTCACCTTTCCCCTGGGTCCCCTCCTTCTTTATCCCTCCCTCTCTCTGCAGTGCCTGTCTCAGTGTCCCGTACTTTCGCCTTCAGCAGAGGGGACTCCCTGGCTGGCTCTCCAGGTAACAGGGCATGGCTTTGGCCAGGGACCTCTGCATGTGACAGGCTCTTTCCAGCACCCTGTCCACAGAGCCCCAAGCCCCCTCCACCCTGCATGCTGGGCAGTACCCACAGTGCCCCTGGGCAGCCCCTCACTGGTTGGAGCATTGGTGACAGACTGGGGACAGCAGTCCTGCCACAGCCTCCCTGGTATGGTGCAAATCCCTGGAAAAGTGGGATGGGGGCACGGGGGAGCCATGGGCAGCTTGGGCTTTCTTTGGTGTGCGCTTCCTGTGACTTCCTGCACTTAGCACTTGGGGTTTTGGCTTGCTGCTTTTGGTGACAGTGACCTGCAGCCCTGCATGCCTGCTGCCCCACCCCCTTTGCTTCCTGGTGATCTGAGTAATAAAAAGGCATTTTAGCAGCAGAGCAAAGTCAGCACCATGTCACCTATTCAAGGAACAAGCTGCCTTTGTTCCCTTATAAATCACTGACTAGACAAAATCCACCATGCTGTATGTCAGAGGCCACACCGTGTGTCAGAGGCCATCAGTCAATGTGAATGACAGGCCAGCTTGCCATGGCAGCCTCTCCTCCTGATCTGTCATAGTCGGGGTGAACAGGAGCATGCCCTTGAGGCAGGTTAAGCAAATACTCCCAGGCTGCTGGCTGCAACCAGAAGCTGTGCCAAATGCGGCGCAGAGAGCCGTCCGTGACAGGCAGGCAGCTGCCCTTTCCCCAGCTGCTGGCACCAGCTCAGAGTCCTGCCCAGTCCCTTTGATTTGTGTGGGTCTGGCGTGGCACAGCCCCCACACCAGCGCGCACCGAGGAGGACAGGCTGCGGAGCTGCCAGCCCCGTGTCCTGGGGAAGAGCCGCTGGAGGTGACTGGTCCACCTGGGCCCTACACCAGCAAGCCAAGCAGCACCACGAGCCAGAGTGAGTGTTTGCCTCTCTGCTGTCCCCTCCTGCAGTGAACAGGTCACCGTCGCGCTGCAGTGGCCTCAACCGCTCCGAGTCCCCCAACCGGGAGGACTATGGAGGCAGCAGCACGCAGCTCCACAGCAGCAGCAACAACATCTACACGCCCGACTACTCCGTGCACATCCTCTGCGACGTGCAGTTCGTCAAGGTATGGGCAGGGCTGGCAGGGACTGTCCCACCCTGGCCACCCCTGTCCAGGTGCCCTCTTGCCCCGCTGAGCCCCAGGAACCTGGTGGGTGCCCAGTGGGTGCTGAGGAGTCCTGCACTTCCTCCTGCTGTCTGGAGGTTTGGAGCCACCAAGTCTCCGAGAGGTCCTGGTGGGGCTGGGTGCCCACTGAGCTGGGTGCACGTCTGTGTGCCCAGGTGACCCGGCAGCAGTACCACAACGCGCTGGTGGCCAGCCGCATGGACAGCTCACCCCAGTCCCCCGACATGGAGGCCTTCGACAGGGATTCAACCAAGGCCTCAACTGCACGGGGAACCCCACAGACACCCAAGGAGGACCCTGCCACCCTCCTGAATGAGAGGAACAGCATCATGTGTGAGTCACCCAACAGCATTCCTTCCCTGCCACAGGCCAACGTTGCATGTCCCCTAGGGGGGTCTGTGCTGGGACCCTCTGGCGTGATGCACACACCACCTCTGGGATGCAGCTGCACGTGGAGCAGGGCTCCTGTACAGTGCAGGCCTCTGCATACCCACACCTGTGGATGCCTGCAGCGTGCAGGCACGTAATTCTTCATTGCCTTGTGCTCGTGTCCCCCGGGTTCCCTGGCAGCTGGACCTGCTGCCGTGGCTGGCATCCTGGCATGTCCTGAGCCAGGGCACAGCACCTCCCTGCCCTGTGTCCCTGCAGGCAGCCGCTCCGAGGGGCCGCGCAGTCCCAGCGAGTCGGTGTTCCTGCGCATGGAGGGCATCCCCTTCATCCAGGAGGAGCTGGCTGACAACGAGGAGAACAGCAAGCGGCAGAGTGAGTCTGGCTGGGGGGGACAAGCACCTGACCCCAGGGGTGGCTGGACACGGTGCCCCAAGGCACTGCAGCCATGCTGGGCTTTTGCAGACAGTGAGTGCTGCGGGACTGTCCTGGAAGCGGAGTCCCCGGGCAGAGAGGCCGGGACCAGCTCATCGCCAAGCAGCTCTGAAGAGGCGCTGGGCAAGAGGCTGCTGAGATCCCTCAGTGAGTGACTGACCCAGGGATGGCACACCCAGCCAGGGGAGAGCTCTGCCTTGGCACCCCACTGCCTGTGTCAGCTGTTTCCTAGCCCTGTTCTGGGACACCCTGCATGGGGCTGGCGTGGAACAGGAGACAACCTAGTTCCCTGTCAGTACCTCAGCAGCAGGCAAAACTGCACCTAGGGCTAGCTCAGGCAGAGCCAGCCACTAGGTCCTGGCCCAGGCACCCAGGTGCCCTGAGCACCTTTGGCTCCCAGCACCCCAGCCCTAAGTACCCTTGCTGCTGCAGGTGGGCGCAAGCAGCGGACATCATCGGAAGGTGAGAAATCACCAGAGGAAAGCTCCAATCTCGCCCCATTAATCACCTGAGCAGCAGCGTGGCCAGAGCACAGTGCTGGAGGCCCATGCAGACTGGAGGTAGGAACCTGCCTCTTGGTGCCACATTCCTTCCTCAGCAAGTGGGAGATCACTCATTTTAAGTAGTATAAAATCAAGTTTCAGGCAGAAAAGCCAAATGGGGTGGTTTGGAGCCCATGTAGGTGTGTTGCTGGGGGCTGGAGCAGGGTCAAGGGATATGGAGCAGGGTCTGCTCTCAACAGCAGACTGGATGTCAGAGACTCGAGTGAGACCTTGGCTCACATTTTCACTAAAACCTGTGTCTGCACAGGTTTTATGCCCCTGTACACCCCTGAGCCTGGCTAGGAAAGGTGCTGCAGGCTTGAGCAGCAGTAGGTCAGGGAGGACAAGCTCTGGCCACCTGCACCAGACTGTGCTTGTGTCTTCCAGGTCTGCAGCATGGGGGTCTCCTGCCGTGAGGCTCACGTCCAACAGCAGGAGGTCTGCACTCGCTCGCTGCCTGTCCGCCCGCTCATGCTGCCCCTCCCTGCAGGACTTGTGCAGAGCCCCATCCCCAGGCGAGAAAGGATGTACCCCCGGCAGGGCTGAACCACCCAGGCAGCCTGGACCAGCTAGCTGGAGTCTGAGGGCCCTTGCCCAGCCGCTCCCTGGTAGCATCTGGTCTCAAGGAAGAGGTGGAAAAGGAAAGGTGAAAATGTCTGTCACGGCATCCCTGCAAGCAGTGCAGGGAGGGGCAGCCCAACCCAGAACTGCCCTTTAACATCATTTACCATCCCCATCCCAGCGAGGCCTGGAGCCCCGCCGCGCTGCGTGCTGCAAGACGTGGTCTCCACCATGAGGAGAACGTGCTATTTGGGGGTGCCACGTGCAGCTCAGGGCCCCAGCACACGTTTGTGCCGTGCCTGGTGACACGCCCGCTTGCAGCGCCTCGCTCACGCTGACCATGGACACAGCACTCCCAAAGCCCTGCTAGGCACAGGGCAAGGAGCCCCCTCACCCCCGAGTGCAGCCCCCTCCCTGGGGAGGGCTCTCTCCACGCTGCACTGGACCATCCTCCTCTCCACACACGCCTGCCGGTGAGAGGGAGGCTCGCACCAAGACTTCGGGGTGGGACAGACCAGTCAGTAGTTTTTGTAGAGGCTCAACGCAACGGGGATATCAACATTAAAAGTGATTTTTCCCTGAGCAATGCCTTCTGTGTATCCATAGGTGTAGGGAAAGACACTAACCCATCCCACCAGGCCAGGCTGCCCTCACACCCGGGGCCAGAGGTGGCTGGAGTAACACGACTCAACCTCACTGGAGGGAGCAAGGGAACGGGTCAGCAAGTGCTGCCGGATTTCTCGCCGTGAAGCTGGGCTCTCCGCCACTCCTACTGCCAGGAGAGCACTTGGCAAGCAGTGAGATAAGTCCCAGCAGTGCAGACAAGGACTGGGGAAAAACAGGAGTTAGTGTCAGGCCATTGCAAACACAATAGTGGGATACACGTGCTGGAGTACAGCCTGACAGATAACAACAGAAATCTCATAGTCCACCCATGCTGATAAAATTTCAGCTGGAATAACTGCAGCCCTGTCTGGGCACTGCCCTTCTAAGGAAACACACAGCAATTGAAAAGTGGACAGAGGAAAGCAAGGGCTGGAAAACAACCTACCTCAGAAGCTAAAGGAAATTGAGTCACTTAATCTTAACTGGTGAAGGATGTGAAGGGGAGAGAGGAAGTTTCCAAATACATAAAAAGCTGTTGTACAGAGGAAAGGAATAATCTGTTCCCTGTTGCCATGGTAAATGGGATAATTGGTAATGAGATTACACCGCAGAAAAGGAGAAATTTAGGTCACTTGCTAGGAAAAACAAGGCCCTTAAGACTAGCAAAATTCTGATATAGATCACATGGGGTGGGCCAGCCTTCACACCAGGAGGTCTGCAAGGGCAGAAGTGTAAGCAAATATCATAAATAACAAAAGCAGAATTGGTTCCTTAACTCCTCCTGAGATCACCCCTAGGAGTCACCTTTTAACCACTTCCCCCCCATCCCTGTTGTGAATAGACACCAAGAGGAGAAAAAGATCCCCAGCTGCAGAGAGGAGGAAAGGCTGCCTCTGGCTGACTCTCTTGTATGACATAAATACTAACCCAAAAAAGAACAAACAAGAGACCCCAGGTACTCTGTGCAAACACAACAAAGCAATAAGGCACCATTTTTGCCTTTTCTAAGCTGCAGCACAAGCAAATCCATCGGGGTAACAGTGACTACTGCTACTTGACACAAGGAAAGGAGCTGTCCCCTTTCTTCACAAGATCCTGTCAGGAGGCTGCTCTGTCAGCTCACAAATAGATTTGCAGTGACTGCAAAGAGCAGAAACAGATGGTCCCAGCTTTTTCAGTGCCAGAAACACAGGCTCTTGCTGGCAGGCCCTGCTGGAGCCAGTGGGAGTAGATGGTGGTTCACTGAGGCCTGCTGAAAAGGATGAACAGAAGAGATCTGCTTTTTGACATCCAAGGGGCGGGCCAGGAGCCCTGAGCCAAATGGCTGGAAACACTTGACCATCCAGAAAGCAACCACGGACAGACAGGCAGGAAGAGCTGGGCAGCACAGGGCAGCAGGGCAGAAAGAACACAAGATGAATACAGGAGGAACTGGTTGGCTTCATGTAGTCGCAGGGAGCTCTCAACAACACTCTCCCAGTAAGAGCCCCCCTTTAGTAGTGGCTGTGATTGTCAGAGATGCAACACACCTGAGAGAAAGGGACAGCCTTGAAACAAACTGAGTAAGTGGACAAACCAGGATGTTGAGGCTTTAACCTCAGCCTGGGGAGAGGTCCATATGGTCTGAAGACACGTAATCACAAAAGGCAGGGGTAGCATACAGAGATGAAGGTTTAATTTCATGTCAGCAACACAAAGAAGCAATTATCACAATTACAAATATTTGCTCGTATAAGGCTCAGAAATTGGGAAGGGGTGGGACGGATGGAGAGAGGAAGCTAACAACAGCTTTATCCCTCTCCAAAATACTACTGAGTGACATTAGTTCACAAGCCATGTGAGATCTCAACCACAGTGCTGTTATCCCACAGTGCATTGCACTGGCACCAGACTTTCGCCATGATCAAAATGATCAGTTACATGGAGTTGATTCAGACGTGATAAAGATGCAGCTCTAAGGGCCTGGAGACCAGGTTGCTGTTGTGAAACAAGAGCCAAGGTGGCTCATGCTGCCTGACCTCCTGGGGGCACTGGCTTACCACATTGCAAGAGTCACTTAAAAAATATCAGAGGGTGATTATCCCTGATTGAGCTACTGCTCCCATCTTTATTAAACCCCAAGAGGTGTGGGAAAAGGCAAGCCATGAGCAGAGATAGACATGGACTACACACTATAGCTTTGGTGACTTTATGTAAGTTTGGTTGTTCATATGCTTCATTGGATTTTTGTGACAGCTTCATGGATGGACTTGGCCACATAGTCCAGGTTCTTGGTAGTTAGACCACACATGTTGATGCGCCCACTAGCCATCAGGTAGATGTGTTTTTCCTTGACCAGGTACTCCACCTGCTTAGCTGGGGAAACAATTGGACAGCAGGTCAGAGCAGTGACCCACAGCTCAGAAAAGCCCAAAGAACTAGGCAGGGATGCTTGAATCTTTCACAACAAGCAGAAGAGTTCAAGCACTGGCCACTAAAATACTGTGTGATGTTTCATCCCTCCCCAGCCACAGATGCAAAAACTCCAGTGAGACAGAGAGATTCCTGCTTGGACTGCTTCAGCACAGTTCACCCACAGCAAAACTGTCCCCACCCAATCCTCCCTTCTACGGACCACTTGATACTTACGGTTCAACCCTGTGAAGCTGAACATGCCAATCTGCTCTGTGATGTGGTTCCAGGTGCCTGGAGTCCCAAGGGCCTCCAGCCGAGACCGGAGCTCTGACCGCATCAGCAAGACCCGATCTGCCATTGTCTTCACGTTGCCCTTCCTGCAGCAGGCGGGAAGCAGAGCATGAGGATGGGCACACGTTTGGTTTGAAGCCATCGGGCCAAGCCTGACTCTCAAAGAGACAGCTTCTGTTCCTCACCCTCTCCCACCGGCCCTGGCAACACGTACCACTCATCAAAGAGCTGCGGGGAAGAAAGTGTAGTTGCCACAATGCGCGCTCCCTGGGAGGGAGGGTTGGACCAAGTGGTGCGCACGATCTTCTCCATCTGGGATAGCACACGCTGCACATTGTCTGCATCCTTCCCCACCACGGTCAGGTTCCCCACCCGTTCATCTGTGGACAAGGCAAGAGATGTGAGCCATCGGTTCCACACGTCGTGGCAAAGCAGAGAACTCCCCATCCCTCAGCATGCCAGCCCCATCTGTCTGGGTATGATGCTATTGGGCCAGCTTACTGCCAGACACTCACTGTAGAGCCCAAAGTTCTTGGAAAACGACTGTGCACAGAAGAGCTCAAAGCCCTCGGAGACAAAGAATCGCACAGCCCAGGCATCCTTGTCCAGGCTGCCAGAGGCAAACCCTTGGTACGCAGAGTCGAAGAATGGAAACAGGCTCCGGCGCTGCAAGGAGGAACAGTGTTAGAGGGAAACCCCCTCCCCACAATCTCTCTTTTACCCCCCACAGTACCCGTAGGAGGGAAAAACGACCATTGAGTTTCTGTGTGAATTCAAAGGAAACATGGTCCAGCAGCACCAGACTGAAATACTTTCTTTCTGCTGGGGTAAAAGAATAGAAAGACTAAAGTGGTCAATAAAAGTCAATGCAGGACAAAACTGCATTTGAGGACAAAAGAAGTGCATCACTCCATATGCTACTATCCAACACCTGCCTGTGGATAATCTTTCCCGCAGGAGAAACCTCAGTACAGCCCATTCCACAGAATGTGAAAACAAGAACTTGGAGGCACAAAAAGAACTACAACGTATGTCTCCTCTGAGCACAGACAACCAACATTCTGTTGTCCACCTCTCCCTTCAACATCTGCCTTGTGGGACTCTTTCAGCTTCTGCCA